AAGAAGTGGAGTGTGGCCAGGAGGCTGGGACCCATCAATACATAAGAGGTGGCACCTCACCTTCCATCTGGTGATGGGGGCACTTAGACCTCCAGTGGTTACCCTTGCAGAGGGCAGGGTCCTGGTTGGGGGTGGGGCTGTCTCCCGGGCTGTCTCCCCTTAAGCATTCTCTGCAGAAGTGCCCCTCCTGTCCACCATGGTAGCAGGTTCAGGATACAGGCCCCAGTAGGATGGGGCCCTCTCTGAGAGCAGCAATGAGGCCATGTGTCTCTTATCTTTTTCTCTCCTGTTAGTAAGGTCCCGGACATACAGACGTAGCTATAAATACAGACATGGCTGCTGTATTACTTGGTTCAATGACTTTTCCCTTCAGCCACAGTCTGAGTTTTTACAAATATCTGGGGCTGACTGTTACAAGTTTATCTTTGAGGAGATCCTCTCTCACCTGTGACTCTGAGTCCACCGTGGTATGTTTTCTGATAGCGTCCTTAAGATGCTGTAGAAAGGTAAGAGGATTTTTTTTAAGTTGTTGCTGTAAAGTAAAGTTGTTATTTTACACTGATACCTGACACTCTGGAGAGCAAGTCTCTGAACTGTTCTGGGCCTCAGTTTCCTCTCTTGAAGAATGAGGGATCTGGTCTAGGTTAAACTACATTTTCTACTATGAGATGGCTGAAGTGACATAAATGCCACTTATCTTCTTTACCATTTTTTATTTTATTTTATTTTAGTAATACTGGGGAATTGAACCCAGGGCTTTGCACATGCTGGGCAGACATTCTCCCATTGAGCTACTTCCACAGCCCCAAATATTATTATTATTATTTCTTACTTTGGCTATACTGGGCTTGAACTCAGGACTTTCTGCTTGTAAAGCAGCACTCTACTGCTTGAGCCACATAATCATTTCCAACCTGAGTGGCCTGGGCTAGAACCCCTTGCTTCTCTAATTAGATGAATCTGGTCTAGTAGAAGCATAATAATATCCTTTCATGTCAGTTGAAATTTTTGGATCACAGAGATAAAGGCTTGAATGTATTTGTCTGGGCATCAGTCAGCTGTTTAGATGTTTTTAAATTTCCCTTAGATCTGATAACTGGAAGGGGACATACGATTTGTCCTCTTCCTACCATTGCCTATTGGAGAGGGAAGCACTCATTAAGAGGTTCTGAGTACTGGGGTGGCTTAGAAGGTAGAAATTTGTATAGGGGACCTCAGTTTACTTTTTTTACTTTTATAGAAAAGGTCTAATTGGAGTATGGTATTGTAATTTAAGGAACCCTGTGAAGGCCACTTCTCTTGGTCACCCAAGGCATACTGAGGCCGACCTCAGTACAAAGCTTCCAACATCTACCAGCCAAAGACTGGAAGATGCAGGTCCCATCTAGAAAGAACAAAACGTTAGGATCCTGTCTTTAGCTAACAGCAGGCAGCCTCTTTAATAAAGGCTGCCTTTTTAACAAAGAAATCATTTGTAAAGTTAGAGAAGGGCATTCAGAGGGCATTTCAGGGCAATAACAGTGCCATACGGGACAACTAGTGTTAATATTTGGAGGGAAAAATTTATGCTGAGGCCAAAGGTGTAGAAAATTCTAAATGAGAAATTTAGAGACCACAGTAATGTCTATTTAGTTATTTCTGCAACTATAACCTTGAGCTAACAATTGAATTACAAGGGTCTGATGCCCTGAGGTGTGAGGTGGGGCTGGGAGCAGGACTTGTGCAAGGCCACTCCCTCCACACACACACCTGGGACAAATGACCCTGACTGCCTAGGCCTGATCCTGCAGTCTGTTGCGCCTCCCCCCTTCCTGTGTACTGTGCGCGCGTTTATTCTAGGGGAAGTGGCGGTGGGCTGCAGCCATTGCCACATGTGGCTGGCAGTCCAGGATTTGCTGGGTCCTCTCTATGGATTTTCTTAGCTATGGCAGGCGTTTTTGCTGTGTCCAGAAGCCGGCATCCTGTGCACAGGTGCGCCTGTTTGCTTTCCCTCCTCCCCTTGTGGGGGCGGAGTTACAGCGTGAGTGTGGCAGCTGCAGGTTTTTGCAAGCGCTTTTGTAAAGCAGCTGACTTAAAGTTACTTTAGACTGAGAGGCCTGGCAAACTAGTTGGAATAACTTAAGTAATAAGGTACCATGTTACAAGTTTTTCATGGGGGGCAGGGTCCCAGTGAGCCCAGGGAGGAGAAGGCAGACAGAGACAGAGGACACATGGTGAGACCATGGAGGAGGCAAAAAAGGTGAGCTGACATTTTAGGTTAGGGAGGGGAATGCAGAGCCTGGAGTCATGACACACGCCTGAGGGATTAGCCATCACTTGTGTCTCCTCCAGGTTGCTGCCATTGATTGGTACTGGCAGGCTTTCAGCAAAATGAAACCTCCACTCTCTGGTCACTGAATAAAGCATGAGCTCTTCCAGAGCTGGAATCGCCTTGAGGCCAGAATTGGCAAGGAGTGGCTTGTTTAACTCCATGATGGGGAAAGTTTTTCAGGAAGATAGGAGGAGATAGGTATGGTAAGCAGTGCAAGAAGTCTGTTTATGTGGGGAAGGAGGTTTAGGAGAGGAATTGGCTGATTTAGAAAGTGGTTTACAGGCTGATAGAATATGCACAGGGGAACAGAAAGTACAGAGGGAGGGTTCGAGGTCAGAGAGCAGGATTTAGATGAGAGGTATGAAAAGGCTTGGACATAATGGAATCTCTCCCCATCGTCCTGATTGCTCACAGTAGTTATATGTCCCGTAAAAGGTTGGAATCTAAAGACCCGAAAAGGGGCCAGTGATTTTGGTTGTCTAAAGGATGAGTGGGCCAGATTTGAGTGCAAAAGCGGACCAAATTTTTTGTTTTATATCTGGGGTCAAACTCAAGGTGTCCAAATTTTGAGGAGGCATCTCAGTGGGGAGTCAGATGGCAAAGAGGAGGTGGCCCCCATAGTGGGAGCCGGTTGGAAGGATATATAGAATCACGGAGCACCCCCACGTGGCTCAAATATCCTGAGAACAGTACAAGGTGCACAAGAAACAGTCGTCACTGCGTTCAAGTGGCTTGTAGGGCCCCGGGGCCCGGAGGCTGTGGGTCACCCGGCGCCGGGCTTTGCAGATGGGCGGTCTCTGAGACCGATGACAAAAATAGACCCAAGCTGAACAGAGGGAAGGGACCCTCCCCCTACTGTCTGAGTCCCAGAGATATCTGAAAAGGGGGGGTGTTTAAACCCCAGAGATACTGAAGGGAGAGACCGCAAAGGGAGCCCAATAAGGGTGTGTGGACTCACCAAAGAATGTCCGGTGTTGGATGCAAGCAGGGCAATCGGGAGGATGAGTCCTGGCCAGTCACGTCCTCAGGGTGGTCGTGGGGTGAGTTGGAATGGGGGTCCCACCAGGATTAGTGGGGAGCCCCCATCCGAGTCATGGCACCAAAATGTTGGAAATGTGGGCCCCAAAAGTCACCATGTGGAGAGGAGTGATCCTACCAAGAGATTCTTTATTGCCGGGTGGGAGAGGGAGAGAGCCAAGAGAGAGAGAGAGAGAGAGAGAGAGAGAGAGAGGACAGGGGCTTAAATACCCTTCAGTGAGACTCAGCATGATCTGATTGGTTAGGAGCTTATGGTTCGTGCTGATTGGAGGTTGGGGCAGAAGGAGGATTCAAGCTAGACTTGAGGCAGGACCGTGACCCTGGGAAATGGAAGCTTAAGGGTGCAGTAAGAACTGAAACCTATTGGTGCCATTATTTCCAACACCTATAATTTGAGCTACATGGGAGTGGAATTAGATCACAGTCCCAAACCTGCCTGGGCAAAAGCTGGAGACCCTATTTGGAAATAACTAAAGCAAAAAGAGCTAAGGATGTGACTCAAGTTGTAGAGTGCTTGTCCAGCAAGCACAAGGCCGTGAATTCAAAATCCCCGTAAACCTCCCCCCCAAAAAACGTTCTCTGTGCTCTTCCTATTCATTTCTCCCTCTCCCCAACAATCACTGACCTTTACTATCCACATAGTTTGTCTTTTCCAGAATATCACTGGAATCTTACAGCATACAGCCATTTCAGAATGACTTCTTTGACTTGGCAATATGCATTTTTATTTTCTCCATATTTTTCAAGGCTTGAGAGCTTATTTTTTTTAAATCACAGAATAATATCCTAGTGTATGGGTATACCACTGTTTGTTTATCCATTGACCTATTAGAGGACATCTTCATCACCTCAAGTTTTGGCAATTATAAACAAGGCTATTTTCAACATTTGCATGCAGGTTTTATGAGCATGAGTTTTCAGTTCATTTAGATAAATGCTGAGGAGCATAATGAGCATTTTATTTTCTTTTTGTGTATAAGCTGACTCATCATTGTCGTGTGATTTCAGATGTATTAGCTTGGGATTTTGGCAAGTGTAACTTAGATGAACTTCATAACTCTAGATGAGCATTCTCTCCCAACTTCCTGGAAATTTTGAAGAGTTCCAAATACTCCATTTTAAGTTAAAGATATGTCATAAGTTTTCGAAGGAGTGGGAGGCAATACATTTATGCTACTGCATTTTGCCAAAAAAGCTCCAGGCATTTTAAATGTCATTATCTCTTTCTCAAGCCATCTTGAAAGGCTAAGAATCTGGGTTTTGAGGTTGTGACTTCAGGAGAACATCTGTAAACAATAAGAAAACTTAACATCACAATGTCTTTCAGGAAAATGCTTGATTAAATACAGTATACTCAACATCAGCTACACTTTTATAAAGCATAAACATGCATATTTAAAAAAAAAAAAGATGGGGACCACACTCTAGTTCATTAAGAGGTAAAGGAATCCCCACTGCAAAGGAAAAGTGTGGGCAGTACAAATTCTCTTCAGAAATGAAAAGCTTAAACTGGGAATACAGAAGGATCTTAACTGAGTACCAGTCTCATGTCCCTCCAGTAAGGGACAAGAAAGTAAGTGGGCAAAAGTGTCTCAGGTAAATCTGAAGCATGTTAGCTTTAACTAAAAACACTTTTCTGTCCATTTTCCAGTGTGTCAGGAAGCTGTCTGGGAAGCCTTTAGGACTTTTTGGGATAGACTTCCCGGGCGTGAAGAATATCATTACTGGATGAATTTGTGTGAGGATGGGATCACAAACATATTTGAAATGGGTACAAATTTTAGCCAGTCTGTGGAACACAGAAGCTTAATCATGAAGGTAAGTGTTATTAGGAATTGTCTTGTAGGCACAAGTATGCATAGCTAAGGTCTAAAGGAAGAAAGAGCAGGTAACAAAGCCCCATATTAGGATATCTGGGTGAGCTGTGACTATAGCTTAGTCTTTTAATCTATAGCTCTGGTGTTATTAACCCAGATAACAGCTTTGACAATGTTTATAAATGTAAATATTTGGAAATAAAAATATGGATCTGTGAGTTAAATATTTTTGCTAAATTAATTTACATATTAACTCAGAGCAGATACCAATGATTCTAGTTAAGAAAGAGAATGTGATCTATTTAATAAAGGTTTAGTGAAGCATAAAAGATTCTAATTAATGATTTTCTTATTTTCCTTCTTTAGACATGTTTATTCTTAGCAAAGGATAAACACACATATAGACAAATTGCTTGTATACTTTTAATGTAGCATGCATGTTTTCATAACAAGAAAATGAAACTCTTCAGAAGTATACAGCAAATTGTTCATGCTGTCTGATACTCACTGAGTCTGTCCATCTGTTCAAGTCCTATTGTGCTGCAGTTCAGATGTAATCGCCTTTGTGAGAAACCATCCTTTAGTCTAAAATTTAACTCCCATAATTCTTTGAGCTCCCACAATTCTTTATTTTTTAGTGATGCAATTGTTACAGTTCCTTATTACTACTTACATATTTGTCTAATTCATTTACTAGACTATAGTCAGAAGGCAAGGATTATGTCAATATATGTTAATTTTTTCATTTCTATCATACAGTAAATATGCAACAGATATTTGCTGAAATAAGAATATATAAGTAATAGCCACAGTATCTTTTCCCTACTTGCTGTAGTTTATTAACTTTATAAATATTATTTTAAATACTGATTGTAAGTATTATATACCTTAGGAGGCCTGAAAAATAATTGTTGAATTAATATCTCTGAGATATTTTTATTTGGGTCTAATCAAATCAGATTAGTACATCTTAAAGTAATGAAGTATATTATCACATTCTATTTTTAACATTTTAGTTCTTGTAGAGGCAGTCTGGTTTTTTCTTTTAAGATTAAGTCCTACACAGAGATGATCTTATGAAGTGGGGTCAAATTGAGAAGGATGTTTGATAAGCATTGGTTGCCCTTCATTTTGTAGTGTTATAAACATTTTGAAGTTATGTAAATTTTTGTTCATTTTTAACTAACTTTTAATCATGGTATCTTACATTTCAAGTCAAGGCATTGCATATGTTTTTCTCTGTCACATTTTTAACTATTCAATATTAATAATTATAATAGCTACCATTTATTTCATATCTACTATATTATATCTGATAAACATCAGCCTTATAAGAAGCTGGTGATGTCCCCATTTTGCAGATAAGGATTGGAGTTATTGAATTGTTTATACTACATTGCAAAATTATATGAGATAGAGCGTAAGTCCAAACCCAGTCCCCTTTTCCAAAATCCATGTTCTTGGGGGTAGCTCAGAAGTACAGAGAGAGAACTTGCTATATTTGATCCTCAGCACTACAAAGTACCAAAAAAAAAAAAAAAACAGAAAAGAAAAAGAAAACAAAAGCAATGTCCATATTTTCCCCCACCCTTTCTCAATCATTACTAATCTTACAAATTGTAATATCTAACATGGAATAGTTGTTCAGTGAAAAACACACATATACATATTTATTTTTATATCTGCATTGTGTATTTCAGTTTAGCCCACAGTACAGGATCTGCTGTTAGTGCAGGAAGTACATATGATGAGGTGTTTTTGTTTGTTTTTTTTTTTTTACCTTAACAACAGAATCTTGTAATGTTGTATTGGAATGTGTAAGCTTAGATTTGAAGGCATAGGAAATATTCTTTCAATGATTGTTTAGTAGATCATGAAGAGAAAGAGAGTGGTATGTTGCTTGTATTGAGCCTTTTTTGTTGTTGTTTTTTTTGAGACACTGTCTCACCATATAGCCCAGGCTGACCTGGAACTCCCTGTGTAGCCCAGAGTGGCCTCAAACTCATGATCCTCCTCATTCATCCTCCTAGGTGATAGGATTACAAGCATGTACTACTACACCTGGCTTGAACTGAGTCTTAAGTGATTACTATAAGTTAGCTAGCTAAGGAGTTGAGGACATCACAGATAGAGGGAACATCATGAGCTAAGTGTATTTGTATTTGTAGGGAATGAATTGGGCCAATGTGTCAGAAGGGTAGGTTAGGAATGACAGATCAAACTAGAACAGTGGATAATTTAAGAATCTTGGATTTGACTCTACAGATGATAGGAAACCTTGAACAGTTCTAAGGAGGTAAGCTCACAGGGTCCGATTTGACACCTGAATTTTTAAAGGTCATTATGGTTCTTCATATCATAAGGAGGGTTGCAGGAGAGAAGAGTGGGCACAGAGATCAGATAGGGTGCTTCTTCAGTACTTCAGCCTCAAGGGGATGAGGATGAGGATGAGGTTCCTAACCAGACCATGAAATAGAGAAAGGAAGCATGAGGGATGTTGAAAGAAAACAAGTTTTGTAGCACTCTGATAGACTGAATGGAGTAGGGTAGGATGAAGAATGACCCCCGAAACCTTCCAGTTTCTAGTTTGGGTGAATAAGACCAAGAACTCAGGCAGAGAAGTAGCTTGTAGATGAGGCAGGGAGAACCAATTCACTTTTAAATATATTCATTTGACCTGCCTGTGAGAAATGTGAATTGCTCGATATTTAAGTATGAAGCAAAAGAGTGGTCTGGTATATAAATATAACAAGAGGTAATAATTGAAACTATGAGAGTGGCTGAGATTATTCTAGTAGGGTCTGTAGAATAAGAAGAGCAGTAATTTATTTAGTATATCATTAGAAGCATTTAGATTAATCTCTCCATTTTACAGAAGGGAAACTGATACCTGCCACCAGAAAGATTTGGGGATTTGCCTGAACAGCTAGACAGTAGACACTGGGACTTGAAACTAGACTTTCTGATTCTAAATTAGTGTTCTTTTCAGCATAGTGTTCTCAAAATAAAACTATTTATTTAGAGGAAACTTGGGGAAAATTTGCTTTAGAATGTTCCTGACGAGAAAAAATCCAGTTACTGATATGATTTGTCTTTGTGTCTGAATTCTCGTGAAACAGATTTATGAGTTATTTTATTTATGCTTATGCTGTTGTAGGATGATGGTTATTATCAATTCATTATATCACAAAATTCTTTGATTATGAGTCCATGAAAGATTAATGTAAAACTGTACCAGTCTACAATTTTAGACCTCTATGAAATGAGTAGCAGGTATAGTCTGTAAATCTTTACCCATTAATCATTGAAAGAGCACAGGGACTTTGGGGGCATATAAACAGGCACTGAATGTTGGGACATTCCCACAGTCACAAAACAAAGGTGCCATCATTAGTACCTGATTTCATCATTTGTCTAACCTCAGAATATTGTGTAATTCATTCTATCATGTTAGGACATTAGTGCTCTCTATGGAATAAATTTTAATTACTTCTCAATAACTGTTTCTAAATCATTTTGCATCTTTTTTCCTCTTAGAAACTGACATATACAAAGGAAACTGTAAGCAGGTGAGTGTTCCTTTTCCTTAAATTCATATTTAACAGTATAGATGTGTCATGCTTCTCCAAGACTCACCTCTAATTTAATGCTTCCTTTTCTGTTTGTTTTTAGTTCCTGTAAGAACCAGCACTGTGGGTAAGTTCCAAATCATCTCGAGGGTACCTCCCTTCCAGACACAACCATGCCATTGTTTATTTACTGTCTGACCTTATCAGGAGGCAGACTTATCTCTCTCTCCAGTAATAAAACAGATTTATGATTTATATGGAATGATCTACTGTTGAAGATTAAAGGAAATGGTGAAATTGTTCCAAAATGGCATACCTTAGTGGAGGAGAGTTTGTTAAATGATGAGTGGTAGTGTGGGTGACTTTTATTTCTATTTATGATTATGGTCTTGAAACACAGGAAGAGTATAATCTTGAATCCATCAGTATGATTCTTGACTTTGTTGGCCTTTAGGCATGGGGCTAAGATAATTTTTGGCTCCTAGGCAGTAGTAATACAAAACAGATCATAAAAGGTAAGTACTATGGAGGCTAAAGATTTCTAACTCTGTCCATCCTCAGAATATCTAGATTATGCCAGCATGTCATCAGTAGGTCGAAAAATCATGTAAATGAGTCAGTGTCTGGAGATCCAGCCTGAATAGTAGAGTCAAGGCAAATGTTGGAGAATACCTGCGGAGGTAGTATAGTGTATTTAGGTTTCAAATCAAACATGAGTGAACAGGAGGGAAGTGGGACTGTGTGGTCATAGTCACTTATGCAACTCGTTATACCATTGAGTCTATGCTGGAGCTTTGCATTGGGCATTTACTTAGATGAGGGGCCATGTGGTCTCTTCACCACAGAGAGTCAGAGGTCAGAGGTTCTTAGTGATTGCCAGTGTAACAAACAATATACTAAATACTCTGGTGAGTCCTACCAGCCTCAACAATTTTCACATTTGTATGGGAAAGAGCTCTGTTGGTCAGGAGATGGGCAGATTTGAATAGTGACTTGAAATGGTGGGCAGCTTGAAGGAATGAGGCTGTTCCTGAAATTCCCATCCCAGTTGTTTCAGGGTTCTCTGAGATGCTTGCTTTTTCTTATAATTAGAAGAATTCTGCAAGCACTGCTAGCCAGGGGTAGTAGGAAGCATATCAAATCTGCTGGTCTGGCGCGGTGGCCCAAACCTGTAACACTAGCTATTTGGGAGGCAGAGTTCTGGAGGATCATGGTTCTAGGCCAGCCTGGGCAAAAAGTTCACAAGATTTCATCTGCATGAATGTATGGATTCAATATCATGTGCCTGTCGTCCCAGCTATGTGGAGAAGCACAAATAGGAGATCATGGTCCTGGCCACCCCATCTCAAAAATAACCAATGCAAAAAGGGCTGGCAGAGTGGCTTAAATGGTAAAGTGCCTGCCTACAAGTGTGAGGCCCTGAGTTCAGGCCCCAGTACTACCAAAAGTAAATGAATAAATAAAAAGAATCTGCTGTGATGGAGTGTTCTGGACTACGGTGTTCCACTTCAGAGACCTGTGTTGAAGAAGAGTAGCATTTGGTCAGTGTTTATTGGTTAACTATGAAATTTGCTGGACTGGTTGGTATTGGCCCTCTCTTTTCAGCCTAATTATTTGTTTATACACACAGGAGCATACTTATTTAGGAAGTTTTAGGCCAGTAGTTTGTAGTGTTTGCTGTAATGTCTCCCAGCCCCAGAGATATATTTAACAGATTTGCAATGTGGCCTTCCCATGAGGATTTTTAAGAGCTCTCCAGGCAATTCTAATGAGCAGCTGATGTTGAGGACATTGTTCTCAACATCAAAAGGTTATTAATGAGCAAACAGTCTCACCAGAAAAAGTAACCACAAGTATGAAGCATCATTCATCATCAGGAACAGAGGTTTCTAACATGTGTCTGGAAACTCTGCCAAAGGACTGTCATAGACTAGCGTGTTTATTCTGGATGGGAAGAAGTCATCAGTGTATAAATATTGAAATACATTGTTCTCTACTGTCTAATTTTTTTAAAAAAAATATTCATATGTGCATACAATGTTTGGGTCATTTATTCCCCCTTCCCCCTGCCCCCTCCTTTACCCCCAATCCCCTTCCTTACCACCCCAACCCCTCTCTACCAGGCAGAAACTATTTTGCCCTTATCTCTAATTTTGTTGTAGAGAGAGTATAAGCAATAATAGGAAGGACCAAGGGTTTTGCTAGTTGAGGTAAGGATAGCTATACAGGGAGTTGACTCACATTTCCTGTGTATGTGTGTTACCTTCTAGGTTAATTCTTCTTGATCTAACCTTTTCTCTAGTTCCTGGTCCCCTTCTCTTATTGGCCTCAGTCACTTTAAAGTATCTGCATTAGTTTCTCTGCGTTGAGGGCAACAAATACTATCTAGTTTTTTGGGTGTCTTACCTATCCTCATACCTCCCTGTGTGCTCTCACTTTTGTCTAATGTTTTTAAGAGGGAGTGGGATCATATTCAGAAATTCATATATTCGTATTTCCTATGAATATGAACCAGTGTTCTACACTTGAGCTATGCCCTCAGCACTTTTGGTTTTTATTTTGTTTTTTGAGATGGGGTCCTGCTAACTTTGTCTGGGCTGGCCTCAAACTCATGATCCTCCTGATCTCTTGCTTCCTAAGTAGCTGTGATTAAAGGTATGCATTATCATACTTAATGCGAAAGATTATTTTAAGAAATTGTTTTCTAACATTCTCACAGGAAATGCATTGCTTGTAAAGCATATCCTTTCAATAAACATTATATCATAATAAACATTTTTACTTTTTTTTCCTGAAGTGCAATCCCTCCCTAGCAATATTCTCTAAACATCTGAAATCTTTGATTCTAATGATAGAGCTGGGGGAAACTCAGAAGTCATCTCATCAACTTTCAGAGTTTACTGGGTCCAGAGTGACTTATCCAAGCTAAGTTGATTATTTTCTCGAAAGTCTGTTTCCTGTTGGGTTCTTCTCATTAGTGAATAGCACCATCAGGTATCTAATTGCCTGGTTCCTCTCTCTTGCTGTTTCCTTTTCTTCTATTTCCTAATCATTTCTTTCAAAAATTTTATTTTATTGTTTTTACATTTACTTACATGAGTATACATTATTTGGACCACCTCTCCCCCCTCTTCCAGGCTCCTAATTATTTTTTATGCTATCCATTATCTCTGACTTCACCGTCTGTACCCTGATTCATATGATCTATACCTCTTTCCTGGTACAAGGCTTGCCATAGGTCTCTCAGCCTCCCTCTGAGTCTTTCTACTCTCTGGCCACAGATCTTTCAAAAGAAGAAATCTGATCATGTCCTTCCCCTGTGCAAGAGAACTTAATATCCCCTTATTGTTCTTAAGATCAAGATTAATGTGGTCAACAAGACTCCACATTCTGGCCTGTGCTTAAGCCTCTAGCCTCATCTGTTACTCTCCATCTCACACTCAAAAAGAGTGTGGTCCAGCCACATTCTTTCTTGGACCACTGTTGTGATATTATGTTTCTGTCTTTGTTGCCTGGCTGACTCATACTCACACTGCTTTTTCATTCTTTTCTTTTTTTTTTCCTGTGGTACTGAGAATTGAACTCAGGTCCTCATACTTGGTAGGCAAGTGCTCTACCACTTGAGCCACTCCCCAGTTCTTTTGCTTTTTAGTTTGTTTTTCAGATAGAGTCTTGCTGTTTTGCCTGAGCCAGCCTCAGACGGAGATCCTCCTGCCTCTGCCTCCCAAGTAGCTGGGATTACAGGCATGTACCATGCAGGACCCTCACATTGCTCATTTGACCTCAGCTTATCCATCATTTCCTCTAGGGAATGTTACATTAGCCTCCCACCACAGAAAAACTGGGCTAAAATTTTCTCACCTTTGTATTTCCAGGGCTAAATACTGCCTGACTCATAGTAAGTACTCAGTAAATAATTATCAGGTGAATAAATGAATGGATATCACACAGCTCGTACATGGTGGCATTAGATTTGATAGCAGGTTCTCTGATTCTAAATTTATAACTTTGTTCAAGGAACTTATACCATCCCGTATTTAAAAAATCTGTTTGCAAATTTAGGATATGATTTAAGAGGAAATAAAAACTATAAATGCAGCTATCTTGTAAAGTAGATTGGTTCTATTGCAATAATAAACTTTGAAGTAGTTTAGAGCTTACTATGTCACTATGGAAAAAGGATCAAGTTTTGCTACTGTTGAGCAATATAACAATATATATTATTAAGAATATTATAGCCTCTGTCAACAACATAACTCAAGGTCACCTATATTATCTGATTATCATTTACCTGACCCTTATGGCCTGAACCAAGGGTAGAAGCTTTGTGAAGGCCTCAAGACTTTTTTTGTTTGAAAAAAAGATTGTGAAACTTTGAACAAATGTTAAATATTTAATTGCATGAACACTTGCATATGTCTACTTAGCAAATGACTGTCAAACTTTATACCATTCTTGGTAATAAAAGCATTGCTATGGAGTAGGGATGAGTTTAGAATTTGGAGTGAGGGGTGAACTAACAAACATGTAACACAACAACAACAGTTTAATATCTATTGAGTGCATATAGTGTGCTGATCCTTCACGTACTAATTTATTTAATCCTTACAGTGATTCTTGGGTTATGAACTTTTACTACTTTTTAAAAAAATAGATGAAACAGTATTGGTGTTTAAATAACTCAAGTTGATCCAGCTATATAAGGGATGCATTTGGGATTTAGACACATACCAATCTGCTTCTCAAGAATTAGATTTCAATCTCTAATAAAACTGCCTTTTCAAGTTATTTAATTACTACCTCACTTAATTATCATAACATGAAAAACTAAATTTAGCAATAATACCCTCATAAGAATCCTAAATATAAATAAAGTCAGAACTATCATGAAACACCTAAAACCTGATTCTACCTGCAAAATTTACTGTATAGCCTTAGCAGGTTTTCATAGGATCTTGGCAAATGAGTAAGAAACCTGGAAAATTATAACTTGTGAGTTACTGTAAAGTGGTAGAAGGAGGGTTATCTGAAATAAGATGGAAAATTGTACACCATGTGAAGATGGGTGTGCTTCAGAACACATGGGTGAGCTGAGGTGACTGGAAGGTATTTGATGTATTGCATGTG